ATTCTGAGTGGCTCCAGGTTGACTCAGTCTTCCATCCTTCCGAGGTTGGTAAAATGAGGACCCAGATTGTTGGGGGTGATAGGCTGACTCTATAAACCACCTAGAGAGGGCTGTAAAGCACTGTGAAGTAGTATATAAGTCTAAGTGCGATTGCTATTAAGGTGTATGGCTTTACCTCAACAATGGCTTACTGTAGTGTTACTCAACCTTGAGAACTTTAAGATTAACCTTAAGAAGAAAGGCAAAAACATACAATGAACGGTTGCAGGAACTGGACATGGCTAGTCTAGTGAAAAGAAGGACCAGAGGGGACATGCAGTCTTCCAATATTTGAGGGGCTGCCCCAGAGAGGAAGAAGGGGTCAATCTATTTTCTAAAGCACCTGAAGGCCAGACAAGGAATAATGGATGGAAACTGATCAAGGAGAGATTTAACCTGGAAACAAGGAGACATTTTCTGACAGTGAGAAGAATCAACCCATGGAACAGAAGTTGCCTTCAGAAGTTGTGGGAGCTTCATCATCACTGGAGGCTTTCAAGAAGAGACTGGGCTGCCATCTGTCAGAAATGGTGTAGGGTCTCCTGCTTGGGCGGGGGATTGGACTAGATGACCTACAAGATCTCTTTCAACTTTGTTAATCTGTTAATGTTTGGGCTTCAATTCAAAAGCTCTATTGGCTGGAGAATTCTAGGAGTTGAAGTCCACACATCCTGAAGTTCTCAAGATGGAGAAACGTTGGCTGATGGAGAAGATTTCTTGTGGCCTCAGCAATAAAGGAGGGTCCATTCCTTCTCTTCTTTTCAGTATTGCTTTGTTCCCAGCCTACATTTTGTCATTCCTTGGTCCTTGATGATGGTAATAGCACAGTTCACACATTAGTTCTCAACCTAGGTTGCCCAAGTAAAAAAAAAGGATATACTACAAAGTATCTATAATCTACCAGAATGAGAAAGTACAGGTGATCCTCCACTTACAACAATTCATTTAGTGACCATTCAAAGTTGCAACGGCACTGAAAAAAGTGACTTATGACCGTTTTTCCACACTCTTAAGGGCTGGCCTGTTCCAAGTTGACTTCAATGTACAGTTCAAGATGTGGATTATCCTCTTTGAAACCCTAACATGTCTCTGAACCTGGTTATCTTCAGGGCCAACTTCTCCAAGTAGACTCTACACATTTGATAAAATCTAGCATGGCACCTACCCTTTGGATCCCAATTTTAAGCAACATAAGGGTGGTCTATTTCCATCGTTCAGATTAACACTCTGAAGAGCTGCTTTGTCTCTGTGAAAAAGCCTTTTAAAGGATGTTGTTGGCATCTTGTGGTTTTTTTTTAAACTGACATTCCTCTTTGGGGTAGCCTGTAATCAGTGATTGTTTGAGATAAGATAACCTTTATTGTCACCTTTTTTGTGTGAACACAGCGAGCACATGTTAAAAAATGAAATTCTAATGCCCGCTCTCAAAAGAAAACACACAGACACATACATATATACATGCATGCATACATACATGTGTATGTATATACCCATACTCATACATGTACATTCATATACATATGCCCCCCCCACACACACACACGCACACATTTATACAATTCAGCTTAATTTAATTTTTCTGGTTTACTGTATGCCGCTTAGAATCATCCATGATGGAAGTGGCCTATGAGCCTAAATAAATATACCGGTATATATTTGCACTTGAACTAATCAGAAACTAGATTAAAGGATCTTTCATTCATGATGTCAACTTGTAAAACCCTGACATATGACACATATCTGATCTGAATTTTCCAATGATAAAATGCATGTATCAAAAACCATGCCTCAGATGAAAGTGATCACCACAATTCGTACATACATTATATACAAAAAGGCATTTAACCACCATCACAACAACAGCAAAAAAAAAAAAAAAAATTGTTCACAAAGGCAAGCTTTGATGCCTACAAACATCCACTCAAATTTCTGCCCAAATGACTCGATTTGATGGCACTGGGTGTGAGTTGGGCAGCCGTATACATTTGCTGAATGAATGAATGAACAAATGAACCGCTGTAGAAAATCCACAATTTTGTGTTTGAAATTTTGCAGAAAGGGAAAGAGGCAGATCTATCCATCTTCCCACAATAGGAGACAAACTGTAGGAAATGACCAGCTGAGCCCGAGGGAGGCTTCAAACACGTCATCAGTCTCGAGTCCCTTCAAACCCACAAAAGTTCTTAGTCCAGCCCACCTTGAATTGCCATTGACTCTGATCTCCCACCAATTTGCTTGGGCCTGTTGGGAGTTCAGATTCTTGTAGAGACCTTAAAGTTGCAATAAATCTTTATACCCATTTGGAACAGCCTGAATCTCCTGATTTCCCCAGTGCCTGATACCAAATTTAAGATCACATCCTGGTATGCACAGAAGTAATCACTGATTGCTATTATGGGTAACAAGGGTACATCTGTATGGTCCTCACCAGGGTACCTGGGGATTATTGGCATGGTCCTTGACACTCACCAAGCTCTCTAACTTATGTAACTTATGTAATTTGATTGTTTCAATTCTTTTAATTAAAATGAGCACTCCTAAGCTTCATGAATATCCACCTTGTCTCTAAACTCCTCACAGACCTTGGAGGCATTCTTAGAAAGTAAAAATATAATTTTGGTTGTCTTCAGGGAAATGGGAGGTTTGGGGTTTGGTCACACTCGCCGAAACAGCCATTTTGTGAGAGTGCTCACAGGATACTCTCAGAATCCCAAATTGGCTCCAAAGAGTTGTGGAGCCTCTGACCTTAGTGATTCTGGTGACACACCAAGAGTTCAGTATCTTGAGAGATACGGCATCATCTATGCAGGAAACATTTTGTCCAACGTGTGGTCTTTGGTGGAAGCAGCTTTGGTTGCCATCTATCTTGCGATGATGGCAACCTTCATCTACCTTGAGAAGATGGCAACCTTCCTGTCTTCCTAATCAAAGAGACCCTGAGCATATTGATATCTCCCTGAAGAACAGATCTCAATGGCTTTCAACCATCCACAAAAGAGGTAACAACCAGGAGAGCAACTGAGACCGTCATCTGGGCCTCACAAGATGTTGCCCATCTTGCTATCCAAAGATGACCATCCACCAACAACACCCAATCTTACTTCCCTCTAACTGGGAAAGATATTTTTCAAACAGTCAAAATGACACGCATCCATCCCATACTTCAATGCCTCTAGGTACAAATCCCAATTTATTTAATTTATATTTCTTAATACAGATCAGGAGCAGGGATGTCTTGCAGCAGAGAGGTAAGATGGGAAGAGAAAGGCCATCCATTATGGCCTTCTGTGGCTTTGAGATTTCCTGCAACCAACAAAACAGTTCCAAATGGCCCTTCATTCTGGATCCTTTCATCAAAGCCAGAAACTTAAGTCAACTTTCCCCAAACTGGTTCCCTCCAACTGCTTGGGGCTACATTTCCCAGAATTCCTTTTGACCATGCCAACTGGAACTTCTCGGACCTACGATCCCAAGCATTGTAAGGAATCAGGTGGAAGAGAGCTGGTTTGCTAAGGATCGTGAATGCAACGGATGGGAATCCTGCAGGATCTGGAGTCAGTGCTGAAGGATCCTTTCGAAAGCACCCAACCAAGGACAGAAAAAGAGAAGTTCCCACGATGCTAATCGACCCAACTATTGTTGCCCAATCCGTCTGCACCCTCCAGGTTTTTGGCATCCTTTACAAAGGTGGTTTATCGGTTCTGTTATCTTTTTGAAACCTTGGACCATTTTGAACACTGGGGAACAGATTGAAGGCAGTATGAAATATTTATTGCAAAGGAAAAAAATGTGGATTGCTTTTTTTTTTTTTTTCATGGCGGAGAAAATAATGGTTAAGAACGGGGGCAGCTAAGGGGCTCCCAAGTCCGGGTCTAGAGTCATTTAGCAAGAACCCAGATGGGGAAGCAATCCTGCTGGGCTTTTGGACAGGCATCCTGAAGGATTTGCCCAGAGGCAGCTGCTGTAAGAGGACAGCTGGTGTTAGTCAATGGTGGCCACAAACCCAAAGGGACACCTTTTCTGGTTTTATAGAAAGGCAACATCTGTAACTCAAGAATGCTGCTCCCTTCAGGGAAGGGAGACAAGCCGCTATTCTATTTCTATTTAAATCTTTTGCATTTCTGCACAAACCTCGCTCCACCCTTTTCAAAAGCACAGGAAAGCAGTTTAGAACCGGAGACCCCCCCCCCCAAAGGCATTTCTTTTATCAAAAATATCTGGGGGGGAGGGGACGGACACCCCTCCCACAGCCACAGATAATAAAATAATTAGCCTGCTACCCATTTCCTCTGAGCCACACAATCGAAAAGATTTGCCTACACTGGCATCAGCTGTTCTGGTCAAGCATTTTTGGTCATGGGGTGGGGGGGTGGGGGGGGGGAGGAAAGCAATTGCTACAACGCCAGGCCATTCAAAACCATTCCCTAGAGCCCAAGTGGATTTATTCAGGCTAGGCAAAATACACACACACACACACACACACACAGAGGGACACACAGATACAACCACACGCAGAGAGATCCTCCATTTAAAAGCGTTACAAAAGAAAAAAAAGAAAAGAAAAACGGAGCTGTGCCAATCAGCCGTCTGCATCTCTCCCCCATAGAGATGCTAGTGTGCCTGGAGAGATGCTCAGCCTTTTATGCAGCAATGCCAGGAGGGATTCTCTCCCCTCCCTCCAATTCCAGCCACCTCCCCCCCCCCCCCCCCCCCCGGCAGCCTGGGCGGGGGGGGGGGGGGGAGGGGGGGCTGCCTGGGAAGGAGGCGCCGGGGAGAAACGGGGGCCCCCCCCCCCCCCCCTCCCCCCCCCCCCCCCCCGTGCAAATTCTTCTGCACAAAAGCAGTGGCTCCCTCTCTCCCCCTCCCTCCCCTTGCCCTTCGCCAGCATCTCCCCCGAGACCCCCTCCGACCTGCCCCTGGAGAGAGAGAGAAGACCGGCTGCCAGACCGGCTGCTACTTACCCCAAGTTTCCTGCTCTTCATCTTCACATAGCCTTGCTTGACGATGTCACTGAAATTGGTAGCCATGGCTCAGCCGCCCGAAGCTGCCAAGGGTTCGCCTCTTCCACGCCTCTTTTTTTTTTTCTTTTCCTTCTCTCCCTCCCCAAAGCTGGCTTCCTCTAGGGCAGCGTCTAGGGCAGCGCCAACCTTCTCTGCCCTGCCCTCCGCTTCGCCGCTGTTCACCTGTTCTCAGACTTGGGCTGCCATGCCACCTCGCCTGCCCTCCAGCATTGTTCTAGTCAGAAGCGGCTTTTTTTTCTGCCTGGGCGCTGAAATATAAAAAGGACAGATAAGAGATTAGAGAGGGTGACATCTCTCTCGTGCTCGTCTGGGTGCCCCCCCACACACACACCCTCCACCCCTCCCCTCTCTTCCTCCCCTCCCTCCTCTTCCATCCCTCACCCCCCCCTCCCGCGCTCCCCTCCCGACTCAACCATTCAGGAGAATCATTGGTGGCGGGGACGAGTGTGGAGGAATGGAACAGTCTAGCGTTTAACTCAGCCCTGTAATTCATAAGAGAGAAGCTCCCACGGCTAAATCCAAGAACAAAAGAGAAGACGGAAGGGTGTTGTTGGGGTTTTTTTTTTGCTTTTTGAAAGAAGAGAAAAAGACTTGCACACCTACCATTCAAGCCAGCCTCTAACTTATTCTACCTGACCAGAATAACTTAGAAGGACCTTCTCGATTCTTTTCCTCGCTCTGCCAACAACGCAAAGCAGGAATTCAGGAGCCTCCGAAGACACCGGTTCCGAGGAGCAAAGCTTTAAAAGACTTTGTTGAATTCTCTCCTCCCCGTTGGCTTCTCCCAGCTCCTCGCTCTCTCTCCTCGCACCACCTCAGAGAAGCCCAAAACGTTTGTGCATCAAAGTTAGGCACTTGCCAATAAGAAGTGGGGATCTCGGCTCCTTGGTGAACGAAGGAGAACTTACATGCCTACTAATTTGACTCGGCTGGTTAATTAAACCCCAAGAGCTGGCATGCTCAGAAGCCTACACGAACGACAAGTTTCCTCATGTTGACATCCCTGCCTAATTACCTGGTTCAGCCATTCCAGTTTGATTATCCTGGATTTTTTTTTTTTTTTTTTGAATTGCAATCGGTGCAAATAAAGAGAATGCAGACAGGTCAAATGTGAAAAGACAATTTTTTTGCTGCTGAATGCAGTACTGCAGGGGAGGGAATATATTTCCCTGCCCCTACCCAACATATCGGTATATGGAACAAATGAAAGCATGCATCTTTTTACTGTGCCTGCCCTGAGTTTAGTTTAGTTTACTTTATTGTCACTGCATCTCGTACAACGAAATCAAACACCATCTTCAGCGCACGTCATGACTATGAAAATAAACACAAACACACATCCTTCACATTTTATACATTAAATTGAAAACCCCTGATATTGCATTCATATTGCACTATATACAGTAGAATTCAACAGAGCTACTGTCCTGGGATAGAAGCTGTTTTTCAGCCTATTTGTCCTTGTTTTTATTGTCCTGTACCGTCTGCCAGATGGTAATAGTTCAAAAAAAAAGGGTGCCCAAGATGAGATGGATCTTTGAGGCTGTTTTGAACTTTCTTAAGGCAGCGGGAGCTACAAAGCTCTTCCAAAGAGAGGAGAGGGCAACCCATGATCTTCTGGGCAATGACATTAACTCTCTGGAGTGCTGTCCTATCTGCCCCTGTGCAAGTGGCAAACCCTACAGAGGTGCAGTAAGTTAAGATACTCTCTATGGTGCAGCGGGAGAAGGTCACCAGCAGTTTTTCATTCAGTTGTTGTTTTCTGAGAAGTCTCAGGTCGTATAATCTCTGCTGGGCCCTTTTGACCAGGGCTGCAATGTGGGCCCCCCAGGTCAGGTCCTCTTTTAGGGTAACACCCAGAAACTTAAAACCGGCCACTTGCTCCACTCCGTCTCCATTGATAAGCAAGGGCTGGATGTTTGGTCTGTTCCTTCTCTAGTCCACTATAAGCTCCTTGGTCTTATTGGTGTTGAGGACCAAGTTATTGTCTCCACACCACAAAAGCAACCATTGATCCACCTCATCTCAGTAGGCAGACTCATCCCACTCGGAGATGAGTCCCACCACTGTTGTATCATCTGCAAATTTAGCCATAGTATTATTACTAATAGTATTACTGGGAATGCATTCAGGCACATCAAGAGTATAGAGGAAGCGGAAGCTTACAGGGTGCTGGATGCCCAGTTAAGTCTATTTTTGCCACATCTAGAGGGACTCACTCGTGCTACTCAACCTGCTTTTCATATCATATCCACCCAACCTCCAGCATTTAAAAATAAATAGTAAAAATAGTAAAAGTAGTAAAAAATAGGGGAAAAAAAAACAGCCAAGAGCCCGGGCAGGCAAGCTGGGCCAAACAAACAAACCAAAAGGTCGTTGCACCAAACCGGTCCGGTATCTGCTGCTCCTCAGAGCTACCGGTTCTATAGAACCGGTCTGAACTGGTAGCATCCCACCCCTGAAGGTGGGTCATTCCTGCTGGCCAAAATATCTTCCCACCATATCTCTGACCTGGCAATGGAGGGCCTGGGCAGGGTTGCAATGCCAGCCTCCCCACTGTCTCACAATCTGTAATTTAGATTAGATTAGATTAGATTAGATTCAACTTTATTGTCATTGCCATGGATACAGGCAACGAAATGCAGTTAGCATCCAACCAGAAGTGCATAACAACAATAAAATATAAATATATGTATGCAAATATGCAAGGCATCTATGAATATGTCAATGGAAAACACAACAAAATGTACGTACACGAACACACAAAGATAAGTGTGGCTGCACATACATGAACATATACAAGTGTACAAAACGTTTATGGACACATTGAATATAAATACAAATGCACAGAAAATACACCATATGTTATCAAGGGGAGCATCAGCATATGTGTGGGGACAAACGAACTGAGGAGTTCAGCAAGGGAACCGCTGCAATTTCCCAAACTCCAGCGGCGACTGCCTTTTTATCCACAACCGTTTCCTGGCTCCTGTTACCTTCTCTCTCTTTTTTTGCTGCTAAAAATAATCTCCAGCTGTACAGGTAGTCCTCAACGTACGACTACAATCGAACCCAAAATTTACGTCGCTAAGTGAGACAAGTATGAAGGGAGTTTTGCCCCATGTTACAACCTTCCCTGCCACAATTGTTTATTTTATTTTTATTTATTTGGTTTGTCAATTGCTTACAAGATAATAGGTATAAGTAAAAACATAGTTATGAATACATGGATACATATAAGAAAAAATAAGAGAAACCATTGTATCTTTTATTAAAAATTATTTTATTAATAATAATTTTATTAATAAAAAGAAAATTGTTCAGCGAATCACTGCAGCGCTTCATTGAGTAGCGCCGTTGTTAAGCGAATCCGGCCTCTCCCCTCGACTTTCCTTGGCAGAAGGTCGCAAAAGGGGATCGCATGATCCCGAGATCCTGCAACCGTCATAAATGATTTTCTATTAAATACATTTCTTGGCGCTTCATAAACATTGTGTTGTCTGGGTATTTAGTTTGCTTAACAATACAAATTTGCATTCTTAATCTCCACCACCTCTTTTTCCAAACCATTGGTAAAATAAATCCCATGTTTGATAATAGTCTACATCTTCTTTCAGTTTAATTTTCAAGGTCAATCTATCCATTTCTGCACAATCTAATATCTTTCCTGACCAGGGTTGGGCTTCAAAAAATTTCCGCAAAGAGTTCTCTGCCCGGATGCTGGGTGGGCGTGGCCAGGGTGGGAGTGGCCTAGTCGGCCTCCTGCACCATGGTGGGAGGGGGGACGTTTTGGCCCTTCCCGGGCTCCGGAGGCTTTTCTCGAGCCCCCGGGAAGCCGAAAATGGCCTCCGTGGGCTCTGGAGAATCTCTGGAGGCCAGAAACGGGCCCATTTCTGGCCTTCCCGAACTTCTGGGAGGCCCATTTTTTTGCCCTCCCTGAGTCTCTGCTCGCACCCTGCACTTACCTGCATCCAAAACGGGCATGTGGAGACTCCTGGGAGGGGAGGGGTAGGTGGGCCAGCCAAGAGTGGGATTTGGGGGTTCTCTGAACTGCACAGAATCTTAGATAGGGGCTCTCCTGAACCCTTGCGGACCCCCAGCAGCCCACTCCTCTTCCTGACTATCTCTTCATCTCGCGGTATATCTTCATTTTTCCAGTATTGTGCACAAATACCCGTACTGACTTTTCAGGGAGGGAGGGGGGACCACCGAGCTGGGTGGCAATGCCAGCCTCCCCACTGTTCCACAATCCATAATTTAGAATTTAGAACAGAATGAGCTGGAAGGGACCTTGGAGGTCTTCTAGTCCAGCCCGCTGCTCATATTTCCCAAACTCCAACAGGGACTGCCTTTTTCTATTTTTAGTCACAACCGTTCCCTGGCTCCTGTTATCTCTCTTTTTTTCTTTTTTTCCTGCTACTAAAAATAAACCCCAGTTGTAAGTTTGACATGAAAGGAAGAAAGGACGATTCCGGCTTGGCCCCGCCTGGGTTGCAGCTGAATCGGCAGCTAAGCCTGACATGAGGAGCTGCCCCTGGGGAGGGGGGGGGGCAGGAAGCACCCGCCACCCTCCCCTCCCCACCTTGCTGTGTCTGCACCCCCTCCGAGCGCCACACTAACCCACTGATGTCAGCGAAAGCATTGCAAAAAGGAAGCCCTTGCGCAAGGCATCCCATAATAGCTGCTTTGCATTGTTAAGCTCTGGGATGTTTGTCTGAATGTTACTGCTGACTCTGGACCGGCCTCATCCTGAAGGCTGACTGGCGGGCAGATTAAATGTGTTCCTCCCACCGCTGGCCTCATGCTCTTTGCATCACAGCACTCTCCGTTCCTTCCAAGCCTTTGAGACCACTTTTTCTTTCTATAATTTAGAATAGAATGATCTGGAAGGGACCTCAGAGGTCTTCTAGTCCAGCCCCCCCCCCCTGCTCGAGCAGGAGAACCTATCCCATTTCAAGACGAGTGCCTGCCCGGTCTCTTCTTAAAAAACCTCCAGTGATGGAGCGGCTACGATTTCTGGTGGCAAGCTGTTCCACTGGTTAATTGTCCTCAGGAAGTTTCTCCTCAATTCCAGGTTGCTTTTCTCCTTGATTGGATTGGAATGGAACCAGAGGTGGCATTCAGCCAATTCTGACCAGTTCTGGAGAACCGATAGTGGAAATTTTGAGTTGTTCAGAGAACCGGCCAATCCCACCTCTGACTGGCCCCGCCAACCCCATCTCTTCTCTGCCTCCCATTGAGTCCCAGC